GGGCTTCATTGTAGGCATGAGCAGACACCCCACCACCACCACCACCACCACCCCCAAACTTGACAACTGAATGATTCATAAGGTTAAATGCAAGTGGGGGTGGGGCCAGGGGATGAAGTGTGTGTGTTTGCATCATTGCTCTGCCTGAACCTCTCTTGTGAGTGCTGTATTCTTAACCCTGCAAGGCAGGGAGCAGTGTCTGTGTTATAGGTAAATAAACAGACACACACACAAGGAAGGGAAGGCAGAAATGTTAATCATACAAGCAATAAATCAGCATTACACATGCATACACACTTCTGGCTTGACACACTCATCAGTCACATGTTGACAAAGACTCCTGGGCGTGGCTGTGGCAGCAGTGTGGGTATCCCCACTAGAGAAGCCCTGAACACGACCTTCCCTTCCCCCTTCTAACTTATACATGATTAAGACATGTCTAGAAGCATAGCAGGGCAGAGGGAGCGTCAGTAAAGCCTGTGTATGATTTCAAAACTCTGCTAGTGTGAGCCGGTTTGTTTTGAAAGCTCCGATTTTGTGAAAAATGTCTCTCAGTTAACAAAAAAATCCAGAGATACACCTCCCTTGAAAAATGCTGATCAGTTGTCAAACAGCTTGAAAACACTAATGGGGAGATAAGAAGTGAAGTGATGTATGGTACAGTGTAGTAATGATGCGGGACTATGAGGAAGGAGGAGCCATGTTTTATTGATTCAGGCATTAAGGTACATTATGTACAGATTTGTTTGGCGTGGCCCCACATGTGAAGCCTACTCCTGCACAAACTAGTTGGAGCATTTCTCTCAATATACACATGTGGGCGTACAAACGTGTAAGTATCAATCACCATTTTTTTTTCCTATTTAACCTGACTGGCTTCATGCATTTTTGGTTGGTCTGTCTCCGCTTGTCAGACAGACTGAGTTTGATTTTCTTCTTGACAGCTGAAGAGAAGGAAAAGGGAGGGAGGGATAAATAAAGAATGGAGACATCTTATAGATCACACAGGTAGCTCAAACAGTGACAACTGACGATCTCTCAGCTTTGCCACAGCAGCAGGGCAACTCCAATGAGTCGCCATCCTCGGGGATGAAAAAGAGACGTATGTCGCAGAATGTGAGTGTGTGGCAGTTTGTTGTGGTTAACTAATTTTGTTGAATTTCATTAATCATATTTACCACCTGTGTCAGTGACTGCTGGTGTTATTACAGTGTCTGCGAGAGACATACAGTGTGTAGCTGTGCTTATTCTGCAGGTTGTGTGTGTGTGTGTGTGTGTGTGTGTGTGTAGACAAATCAAAGATGTAAAAAACTATTCCAATGCATAGGTCACTCGAGGTCTAGCTGTGTAGAGCACATAAACAGCCAGGTGCAAATGTAGACATGTACACAAACACACTCACATGCACAATCTCTCTGACATTCTCTTTCCACACATACAAACACATTTGACACATGCGAATACAAAACCCTGTCCCTTTGTGGATGGTTGCCATGCAACATTCCTCTGATTGGGTTAGTTGAGCCATGGTGAATGTACACTCACACACACACACACACACACACCCCCGCTGGTTGTTGAGGATTGTATCACGTACACACTCCTTTGCCGCACCCATCCTCCTCTCTCATGGGACACAGCTGCACTTCCAAGGCCGGGGATGGAGGGGGCAGGAAGATGTGGTTCTTCCAGTGGGATGAAATCTCTGAGCTCTGCTCCTCAGTCCAGGGTTGCAGCTTCTCTTGACGAGCTCCTTGCTGAAGTCAGATGGTTCTTCGGTTTGATTTACAGGTGCTTTTGGGGGTTGGGGGGGGTTGTTCCCCTTGCCCTTTGCTCCATTTTCACTTTATGATTTGTAACTTGAACATCTAAAACCACCTGGAATTTCCATTATTTCTATCACTAAAACACATTTCACTATGCTTTGATGCAGTGATAGTGTCTCTTGCTGACTGGATAAACCAATTCTTCACATTGCCCAGTGCTGTGACTTTCTCTGATTTGCCGTTTCATTTTTGTTGGTTTGGCTTTGGAAAAGTAAATTTAACTTGATAGGACTTCAGGTCAACAAACCCCACTAGGCAGAAGCAAAGCATGTGCTGTGATTACTGGAGGATGGATCATTTTATTTTCTGCGATAGGTCTTGATGTTTGTTTTTTGCTTCAGGAGAAGTTCTCTGCTCAGACAAATATGTGGCCCCTGGTGATGACCATATAAACTCAACTTTGATTTTAATTTAAACGTCATGGCCCAGGTGTGTGCTATAACTCTTATCTTTGCGTCACAACATATGTATCACATTAAAAATGTATTTCAAAGATTAGACATTGATTAGAAAATGTTGTTTACAAAAATTTATTCATACAAATCTTACAACACTTTCATAACATTGAGAAACGTAAAACCCCATATAAGGACTCCTGCGTGTATAACGATGCCACTTGTACTAAGGTTCACTTTTAAAACACATTGTTTTCAGATAGATAAGAGATTAAACATTGAAGTAAGGCGTTTGGCGCTTTCAGAAATATCAACAACAGGCATTTTCTATGATCTGAACATCAACTCTGTTCTAAAACCCTTTTACTCTAAATAGATGATGCACATAGTTAGAAATCATATTTGGGGCTCTTTTCTGCTTAATAAATTACTGACCAATATCAAAATAATCAACAACACTCTATAATCAACAGTAACAAACACTGGTTATTGTTCACAACTCTCACGGACATTAAGCACCCCAAACTCATGCGCACACATAAACACACACACATTGCCTGCTCCACCAACATATACATTCTGTTCTTTTTTATTTTATGTTTTCCTCAATAAATCATTGGCCATGCTTTAAAAAAAAAAAGCCTAATTCTACTGTTGGGGCCGACTAAGCCAAGTGATCAAACAGAGTAAAAGGAAGTTTCGATGTAAGCTAATGGACTGCAGCATTGTAGGGCCACTAAAATTGCCATCTGTCACTTGTGGCGTTTATTTTTTTTTTTTGGTTGTTTTTTTTTTTGAAGTTTTGTTTTTTCTCACGTCGAAGCAAGGCACCAAAGCCAAAAGCTGTTTCCACCTCCACATGCGTGCTCAGTCACTCATTTACACAAACAAACATTAAATGCACACACACACACACACATGCACTCAAAGAAAAAGAAATGCACACAAATATGCAATCGATGCACACACATATTCACACAAAGCTTGTACAGGATAAAGCCAAATCGAAGAAAAAGTGTATTGATAGTTTCTATGTTGGAGCACAGGCCATTGATTGGGTTGCAGGGGTGCATAAAGCTGCATTTGCATAATATTGAATACATACACAAGATTTTTCTCTAGTAAAAGTCAGTGGGAAGATCTCTCTCTCTGCTGGAGAGCTGAATTTCATTCACCTCCCTTCTAGTGTGAGAGGGAACGTCAGCAGGTCTTGCCCAGCTTCACTCACATCCTGTTCATCTTTCTACTGATACCAAAGTGAAGGGAATTCAGCATCTGATATTTTCTATCAGACTCATTGACCCTGATCTCACTTTAGCAGGTGAGGTGATGCAGCGGCGCTCTCATCTTCTCTGCATTTCTGCATCCAGGTACACTGACCTCTCTCTGGCTCATGGGCGCTGTAACCTGTCCCTTAGGTAACAGCCTACATTTCTTTCTCTCTCTCTCTCACACACATGCACACATTGTCTCACTGTCTCCTGCCTTCTCTTCTTCTCCATGCATACCTCTCTCTCTCTCTCTCTCTCTCTCTCTCTCTCCTAACACTCTCCTCATCTCTTTAGCACATACCCAGCAGACATTTAACGCATATCAGCTTTGTCTTAACAACTGAGCCACAGCACTGTCAAATCAACTATTTAGAACAACGAACTAGAGGCAAAATAATCTTTAAGAGCTGCTATCAGGACAAATGCAGTCAGTAAAAATGAGGATCCAGTGTCTTGTCCTAGGATATCCACAGTGACAGTAGCAGGGGAGGTAAAAATTCAACAAGTCAGTGCAGTACCAGATTCCACCATCTCTAGCCCTCCTCGTTCACATGTCTAACACATCTGACGGTGGGGAGTGGTGCCCACTTAGCACAGCCTACCTCCCAAATAGCATAATCTCAAAAAAGCACAATGGCATGCAGTTTCTAAGCAAAATTAGCAAGGTGTCAGTTTCCACATGCACCAATAAATACGACAAAAGAGTTAAATATTCCTAACTGTAACTCGGATGCTACCTTTCCTCAACACCTCTCATCAAAACCCACTGAATGTCCTGCTTCTTAAATGTACTGGGTCCTTTCTGGATGTTTGTAATGCCGCCTGAATACAATCAACAGCCGAAGCACATTCTGTCAAAATATTCTGTTGACTGAACACAGACAACATTGAGATGAATATGTCCACTGTGTCACTTCTATGCTGTACTTAATACACACATATGGAACATTCTTTACACAGTGCTGTTGAGCATGAGTGATCTCCGACAGTGAATGACTCTGAGGCAAGTGAGCAAGCAGTGTTTTCTGCATACTTTTAACAGCAACTATAGTGCTTCCTTTATTTTTAGTATTGGCAATAATGCCTTTGCAGAAGCCTGCAATTGGATTTCTGTTTTTAAAAATGGTTGTAATTTACCACCAGTTACATGAATGACCATGTAAGTCGGTCAGGTATCCATCAAATGAGAAGCTGTACAACAAAATCCATCTAAATTCCCCTGGAGGGGGCAGCAAGCTGTACAAACCCACACAGGAAGAAATTGGACAAGGACAACATCTGTGATTTAGGATAAGCCGGATATGCCTCACATAGCATGCTCACTGCTTCTTTGGGCCTGTTTGGAAAACAAACAACACTAAAAAAATAGAACGTTGGTTACAAAAATAAGTATAACATTCAATACTTTGATTGTCTTTTTAAAATCTATTTATTTTCTGCATATGTAGATGACCTTTAAAGATTTCAAGCGCATAATGTTGAAGGTGCACAACTTTTTTTTTCTTATACTTTCTTTTTTTTTTTTTGAAGTGATTTTATGTTTTCAGCATCTTAACATGAAAATAAAATATTGGTCCACAAAGTAGGCTATAACTGTGCGGTATCAAGTGCTTTTGTACAAAAAGAAAAAAAACGATATTATTATTAAAATATTCATTTTAATGGCTTTACTTCATACATAAATACATGTTGAGAGAACACAGGCGCAATCCACTGGTTGGTCAGACATATCTGAATGACTTTGATTTAACGACTGGATGTATATACACAGGAGGGCAGTTTGGGCGCGTTAACAACGCTACAAATAGGCAAGTCGACGTCCTTTGTTCCTAACTCTCTGTCTGTACCTTCTTCCCAGAACCGCTGCCAGGTATTTCTGCACCGCCATCTGCTTTCTATAGCGACTGTAGCTGTCGGTGAAGATCCCATCTGAATGTCTTTTGGATAGGGGCTCTGACTCGTCCTCCATGCTGTTGTCATCACTAAAAAACAAACAAAAAAACAAACAAACAACAAAGTAGGTTTGGTAAAGATGCAGATTTCTCAGCAGGTTTCTGCGCTTTTTCATTTTGCATCGTAGCTTTGATAATCTCTTCATCTTGCCATGGTACAAAGTTGCCAACAATCATTAATAATGGATTTGGGGCCTGTTATCCAGTTGTTGATGTTTTATTTATTTATTTTTTATTTTTTCGTTTGAAAAGGGGCGACAAGCAGGACAATGTAAAAGAAACGGTGATTTAAGTGTTTTAGAAAACTGATCAATTATTCATTCACAGCTCATTGCATATTCTGACGCATGATTTTTCACTAGTTGTTGGGCAAACAAAATCAGTTAATGGATTAATCACACATTGATCGCAGTGTTTTAGTCTCAGAAAACCGACCCTCATGAGCGCAGGGCTACGCCTCGACAGAAGAAAACAAACAAGCAAAAACCAAAAAATAGACAACAAAGAGGTGTAGGCCAAATGGAAATGTCTGGACGTGTTTTTTTTAATTTGTAACCAAAAAAATTAGAATAAATGAAACCCGCACACAAAATGATAGACACTGATGCAGCAGCCTGAATTTGTGCAGCGGAGAAGCATAAAAAATGATGACTGCTGGTGAACGCGTATAAGAAATGCCCTTACCCTGCACGAATTGTCATCAGAGAATGCAGATAATGTCTCGCTGTTAACTGACCCAGGATCTCCCTCAAGGCTCTATCTAATTCTTCCTCAGCATGCCTTTCTGATCTGAGATGATAAAACGCCAAAACACATAGATCATCAGTGACTAAAAAGCGCAGACAAAATGATCAAAAGTAGCCTAAAATGTCCCCACACACTGGAAGGCCCACTGTCACATTAGGAGCATTTAAACCGGAGCCTCTTTTTACACACATGACGTATCCGTCAAGCTTTTTTTGTTTTGTTTTTTTTGTCTTGATTATTAACAGCATTGGAATCCACATTTTAGGCTACTCGGTATGAAAATAACACTGAACAAATAACATGAGAAGCTCCGGGGAAAACAAAGGCAAGCAAACATTATCGCAACCAGCAAATAAGTCATTAAAATGGAAACCAGCTCAAGGCTTTAGCTGTGACATTGAAAGCGCATTTACCTTTTCTCTGGCGGGTAGTATAGAGTGTACGCGTCGTCGTTTAGGGATGGTGGGCTTCGTATAGCAATCTGATCGCTATCAAAACCCATGTCGGATAATGAATTGCCATCCTCGTCGAAGGCGTCGTTTTCAAGTCTGCAAAAGGAGAGAACATTCATCACAAATCTGATCGGTGCACAAGTGGGACGCAGGAGTGAAAGAATGCCAAAATGTCCGCATCTGCGTCTAAATTCAGTGGGAGGTCAAACGCATTGAGCTATAGGGCAAGAAAACGAAAACAAGAAATGCAAAAGCTGTTTCTTTAAAATAAAATCAGAAAACGAATTCATCAAATTTGGACACACACAAAAAAATGATGTGTTTAATGTGTACAGCTTCGATTTTTCTATCTTTACAAACACTCTTTAATCGGGGAAAAAAGCTGCTTTTAATTTCGAATTCTTAGTGCTTGTGGTCCAAACACAGGCTACAGCCTCATTAATTATTTAAAGATCGAAACAATAGGTGTCAAAATGATCACATTTAGTGTAGGCGTGGAGCCAAAAAAATACTAAAAGAATGATGTAATTATCAGTGAAAAAATAGAATCAATAAGAACCACGCCCAAAATGTGGAAAAGCATTTCGCAGGGGAAAAAAAAGAATAAATCATAAATGGATAGAGCTCTCCTATTCGTTTTGCCTCGCCTCTCCTTAGTGACGCCAGTCTGCCGTCATCCCATGGGCTATCCATTGCATTGACTGCACTCTCATTTTTAATAAGGGGAGTTCTGTGAACCGTCCCACCGGACAGATACCTCTACGCAATTTCCACAGTCATTTTCCACACATGATTTGCATGTTTGTGTGTTGAAATTACCCTGTTTCCTTTTTGTCATTTCTCTTGATCCCCACATTTATAATTACGGTTGTCTTTTGTTTAATTACGCACACTTATTTGGCATAAAGTGTACAAAATCCAGAACCACTTTATAGTTAATCACAATGCTCTAACTGAAACATGGTGTTTGAGCGTCTAAAATTGAGACATTTAAAAATATTTACTCTAATATTTCGGTTATAAAGCTGCACAAACCGCAAACACCTACCTAATCTTAGGGTAACTTAGTCCGATAGGTGTGCAGAAGACGCTGTAGTGCATTAAGATTCCGTAGATGAGCAAGATTAAAGTCGCTTTACTCGAACTGGCCATGCTGTTAGGAAAATGAAAAACAGTAACATGAAACAGGTTAGTCAGTCCTATATAGAAACAACATGCTTTCTCTTTGTTCTGTCAAATTGTTCTGCTTCTCTTATTACAAACTAGAAACCTGTTTCAGTTAACTGGATAAACGCAGCGTCCGTTTGCTCACATGAAAAAGATATGTCTCTTTTACTCATCCCATTGTGTAAAAGTTTAATGGAAGGCATTGACACAATCCTTTGCATGCAGCGCGAAAGTCATTCAAACAGCAGATGTCCATGCAGTGCAGAAAAAAGAATAATTTCCATTACTTTATCTCGTTCTCCATCAATGAAATTCTCCGAGTTTTAAGACAATCCGCAAATTAATCACATACCTATAGCAGGAAAGCAGAGAGAGCGCTGTGCTGTAGGATGTGATCCGGGCGCGGCTGTGGTAGTGTGTGTGTGTGTGTGAGAGAGAGAGAGGGGGGGAGAGAAAGAGAGAGAGACGCTATCTTTCTCAAGGCACTTCTCTCCTGGCTGAAGCGCCTCCGTCGTCTCCTTATGTTCCCCTCAGTAGAGCCTATCTCACTTTTCTACACAGTTAACAGGAGTCAACCAGTCGCAAACAGGATCTCAGTGGGAAGGCGCGCTGTGTATTCGTCTGCATATCGTTGCTCTAAACTTTTGTCTTGTGCTGTGATTGCCTTGGATTTTTATCCATGTATCCTAAGCCTTGCCCCCCTCCTCCTCCTCCTCCCTCCAATATGTCACATTAAAGATGCTATAGACGTCATCAAGTCTTCCTCCCGGAATATAATAGTACAGTTCCTTCCTCATCGATGCATCCGTCAGACTCACCCCTCACCTCCCTCCTAAGATGGAAGTTTACTTCCAAACTTTCTTCTTTTTTTTGAAGTAGAAGTGGTTGTGAATGCACACATGAATTCATGAACTTTGCGCAGGACAATGTGACTGCTAATAGCCTAAAAGACCATTTGTCGGTCACCGCGACTGTTATGATTATGACTGAGCTGGGAAATGATCGTCTTTGCTGGTGGTGGTGGTTTCATGTGACTGGATGGTTTTGATGGAAGCTTCCGATGACCAAGTTCAAGGCCTCCTGGGAGTCAGGAGCTGTCCGGTGCTGAAATGAATCGTCTCAAATTGCTGCTTTCTGACTTTACAAACACTTTTCCTCATCCGTCTCAATAATTGGTCACTGGATAACAAGGGGGTGGCTTTAATGGCCATGCAGTGGCAGCGCCGAGGCCTCGGCCTATCCCTTAGATTGTTGAACTAAACGCCATGCGTAATCGGATTTGAATAGGAGCTGGGGAGCAGGATGCCGATTCAGAGTGCTGTCACCCTGCGTGGCTCTATTAACGATTGGCTCATTTTCCCAGCATTGTTCTCAAATTGTCTGTATCATTATAATGTGCTGTGACTAATACGTTAAAACGAAAAAAGCCCCGAGAAGGTTGACGCTATGCAGTTAAATACGTGGTAACGAACCACTCGGGCCTGATTCTGATTCTGGGCTGATGAAGCCTAATTTGATGCATTTTGGTATGAAGTCGAACCTCTTTGTTGTCGCCACTCCTTTGTAATATGTTACTTGTTATTCGCTAATAATATACTCCTATAAAATTGCTGTGAAATATAAATTTTGCATTAATATTCATGACATATATATTTATGCCTTATGTCGGATGCAAGTTATATGAGTTTGGACGGTGGACGCCTGTCTAAAAATCTCATTTCGATGTATATATGGGGTCTCATTACAGCCACCACACCTTTTGGTTCAGCACTGTACACCACTGGATACTGTAGCTCACCATCTATTTGAAGAGTTTGACAAAGAGGAGAAAGATTCACGTCAGCTTTTTGTTTATAGGCTGACGCAATATGACGAACCGAGCCGGTGACTGCCAGAGGGGCCTGTCTACAACTTCTCCGCGGGGCGTGACTGCTATGAAAAGCACAACTTAAACCCCATATGTTTTAACTGGAGCAGACTACTAATTTTAGGCTTGGAACAGCAGGTGTAGACGTAGCTCTGTAGCCTGGGCAAACGGCGCCATCATGAGGAGAGGAGAGAAAAAACCTGGGAGCTCCGGTGAGGTTCATTCATCATCACCACCAGTGCACACATGAGGGAAACGGAAAAGATGAGTAAAGCCTCTTCCCTGCATTTAGTCTTCATGGAGTAAACAAGCCCAAAAAAACATTTGTGCTTTTACTGCAGAACAATATGCTTTACTTAAAGTGAGTTATTTAAAACCATCACTATTCCATAAAAGAAAAGCTAATATTAAAGATGGTCAAATGAAATAAATGTAAATGTCCTGCCTTACTTATCAGCATGTACATGTCTTAATAAAAACAAAAAGCCCACAGGCCCCCGGGGATCTGTGGGTTAAGGCGTCCCTGGTCTTCTTCTAACAAATATCCCAGAATGAGACACAAGACAAAGTGAGACACGAAACAACCACAAAGGGATGACGAAGAGATTCACAACGAGAACACAGAAACACATAATAATGCAAAAACACCACAAAGAGATGTAAAACATCTATGATGAGATGCACAGAATCCCCAAAGACGTGCAAAATGATCTACAACAAACACAAAGAGACGCAAAATGACCGTAAAGAGACTCAAAGCAACTACAAACAGATGCAAAAAAAATTACAAACACATGTACCACCAGGATGAGGCACAACACGACTGCAAACATTTGCAAAACCAGTACAAAGAGATACAAAATATTCTTAAACAAACACAGAATGACCAGAAAGAGACACCAAAAAATCACAAACTACATGGCTACATGATTTGTGGGAGTTTTGTCTTTTTTCAGTGTGTGGGTCTTGCTCCTAGGAATGAAGGCTGTTCACACTGTATTATAATGCGTCCATGTTACACAAATGTATATCTGGGGTAAAATAATCTATTTTGATAGCCTACATGAGCAGGTTCTATAAGTGAATCTATGGGGTATTTAATCACAGATACTGTATATAATGTTCAAGGTCTATGTTAGGTGAAGATACCGTACAAGGACACAAAACAGGAAATGGAAATTGTTCCATTACTGAAAATGGTAGTGGAGTATGATTCTTTCCCTGTGTACATATAGCTGTTTCTCACAGGGGCTGCTTTCTAATAGAAGTCTCCTAAAGGAAACTTGTGGTGCCGCTTGTGTACTGTGCGGTCAGAGACAGTAGGGGTCAGCAAATCACTTCAGAATCACTTAGAAATGTCTTCATTGGGTCTCACACATAATGTACTGATCTGTCCAGGGTGTATCTCACCTCTCATCCCAATGTCAGTAGAGACTGGCTCCAGCCCCCTGTGACCCTCTTCAAGATAAGTGGTATAGATAACGGATGGATGGATAGACATAATGAGCTTGCAGTGTTATATCATTTGTGTTGAAGCAAGGTACCATCTCAGCATTACCCTCCCCTTTCAAAAACAGCCATATCTTGCAATGACCTCTATCAATATTATAGGCCTATCTCCACCATATTTCTCTTTGGGAACGTTAGAGAACTGAAACCATAAATGGCCTAACATACAGCATATGTTAGCTGCAGATGGTTTTACAGTCTGTGCTGTAGACAGCTTTTATTTGAACACCCTTAGACCTGTACTATATTTCAAGACAGCAGAAGTGTAAGCAAAATTGAAAACCCATTAAACCTTCTATCAAACCTAGAGGGCGCCAGATGCTTGCATGTTGTGAATAAGGTTCAAAGGTTAAACGGCACAAACGCAGAAGGACATTTAAGTCTGAGTTCAATATTGAATGGTTTTTACATGATTTTACTGAGTGATAAAACCGTGAATAGTTAGGTATTTGTCACGGAGTAATATGGTGGATTTTCACTTTAATGTGAGACAGGGATGTCGGCCATATTGGGCACACGGGAAAACCATTCAATAGGAGTTGATGCGACGTTCATGTGTTATCGGAAATTATCCGTATGCCTGTATTTATCCAGATAAACAAAGAAATGCTCTAGAAAAATAGACACGTAGGCACCCAATTTTGTAAGATATTATTTGTGACTTTTTAATAAATTATTTTAGAGAGATGCATGTTTCAAAACATCAATTTAAAAGCATAAATCCTGTTTTCTTCACTGTGCTGCTGTATTAGTCTATAAGGTATCCTTGTGCAGAGTAGGCCTAATACCACAGCTGAATTGATCATCAGCAACTACTTTGTCAATAATGCCAAAGAATCCATACGTATAGGTTCTATTCATCTCTTTCATACCCGTTGAATTTCTTTGGTTTTTGACTGTAGGCCTTAAAAACACACACAATCTGATGGCATCACCACCTGGGCTCTGCAAATGTTTGACTATTCATTGCATTTTGTAAACTAAAACATAAATGTGTTAAATAAATAATCCCCAGATTAACTGATAATCAAAATAGTTTGATACTGCCTTAGTTATTACAGGACAGCAGCAACATTGTTATTTATGATGATAGGCCTACGTGTTAATTAGTGGTTCACAAAGTGGAGTTCTGGACCCCAAACAGGGAGTCAAATCTCAGGGGTCAGCTGAGCTAACACAAAATGTATTTGTTAGACATTAGTTATTCTTGTAGGAAATGGGAGGGGGGGGGGGGGGGCCTTGGTTTAACTGTTCACAACAAGAAAACATTTGCAACAGGTCACGGGGTTTCACAAAAAGATACTGCTTTATTTTAGGGGGTCATAAGATAAAAACTAGGGTGTGTTATTTGGTGTATTGAAACCGAGTGAAGTATGGAAAGTTGAAATTACGAGTCTTAATAGAGTGGGTGAATGCAGCATTATTGCTTTTTTGGTTTCGTCGACTCCTCAGGACTAGTCCGGCTATTGTTGTGTGTCTTTCGGGCCAGCACTGACCTCTCAGCAGGCGGTGATTTGGGGCTATTTTAACTGTTTTGCTTAGCGGTTCCGCCGCCATATTAAGCAGTGTGTGTCAGCTGGCGGTGTGTCCCAGTTTTAACGGAATATAAAGGATCCTAGCGGAGGAGTTTGGGCTGATGAAGTAGTTAATCGGTATGGGACAGACGGAAGACTGAGATTCCACGTTGGTGAGACAGCTTTTGTCGGCGGTTTTCCTCTTCTTGGGACGTGGAATAAAAACGTGAGGGGAAAAATAAAGATCACGGGACGTATGTAGTCGAAGTACAACACTGTTAAGGTTGCTTTTAAGGTAAGAAGTGCTCCCCAAAAGTCTCATTTTGTCAGGGAATAGGAGTGAACAGGCCCTTGTAGTGCTGTGACACTTAGAGAAAGTTGGGAGAAAGGACACGGAGTTTCCTCACTGCATTATATGAAGACTGTTAACCCTGGTCCTGGACCATATCTGTGTGGGGACAGGACAACAACGTGGAAAGACTCCCAAACCAACCTAGAAAAGGGTGCATTTGGAGAGTTTTACCCATGAATAAATACCAAATCATACTGACTTTTTGTAGCCTGTACATCTTCATTTCACATTAATGTTTAACTGTGTAAACCTAAAAGCCTAACCATTTGCACGTCTGTCCGCCTCACCCAATTTCCTACACACACACACACACACACACACAAACACAGTCAGCTGCTGTAGGCCTCAGCTGTTACAGTCCTTTACTTCTGTACAGTTTCCAAAATGACAAAACTCCCTGGAATGTACACCTTTTCCAGTAGTTTCACCTTTGTCCTTGCATGCTTTTATTGTGATGGTGTAACTTGCACTGCTGTAAAGCTGGTATTTGTACTTGCAAGATGGCATAAAATACCATCTTGTAGTGTTGTGCTGGTGTATGTGACCGTATGTTCAGAATCCATGCGTCTGTTTGCGTGCTTGTATACCATGGTGCTGCAACAATCCTCCTCCATGGTAATCCCTTTGTTAGTACAGTCCCAGTACACTTTAAGGTCATGCCTCCTTCTCTCTCTCTCACACACACACACACACACATGGACACACAGCTGGAGGGGAGAGGGCTGTTGGCAGAGGAGTGAGGAGCACTGACAGGTGGTGTTGGCCTGGCTTCAGGGACTTGAGTTTAACTGGAGGCATGAAGGATCCTCACATACTAGTTGACTGTCCTCATGGCATGAATGAAACTCTACAGTATCATTACAGTTCACTAATTAAAAGCTTCCAAACGTCTTGTACCACAGTGGAAAGGCCAAGTCATAATATGGCACACGCACATGTTGGGAAACTGGACAGATGTTTGGGTTTCTGATGACAAAAGAGAATCCCCAGATTTCACATATCCACAGTGGGTGACGTGGGCACAGAGAACAAGAAGAGCTCTTCTTTATTATGGCTTGAAGATAGCTCTTTCTCTATCTCAGCCTCACTCTGGCCTCTGACAGGCACAGCAGGTGGCCTCAGTGGCATGAATGGATTCGGAAGGAAGTTCCTCTCTCTCCCCCTGCCGACCCCCTCTACTCACCGTGATTGGCAGAGATCGCAGGCTGCCCTGAAGATAAGACTGAGCTGCGTCTTGGAGAGCATGCCAGGGAAGTTGCTGAGTTACGCCTCAGTAATGGTTTGCAGTCCGTTGTACCCGCTCATCTTTCTGTGAGTGAGTGATAGCCACATTTCAGTACCAATAACAAGTTGGTGCCTTTTTCAATAGTTTACTGTGAGCTAAATGTTTTTGAAAACTCCCTTTTTTGTTAGAATAACTGCACCAGCTCTAATAATCTGGCATTCCCTGCCCCCTTGTGACAATGTATGGGTGTGGTCCCAGTACAACAGATTATACCTGACCACCCTCTGCTCTAAAGTTGGAATAGAGGTTCAAGAGATTTGGGGTCAAGTTGCAGCTGAAAAGAAGTAGAGTGTACAACATGTTGTCTGAACACGTTGGAGAGCAAAAGTGTTCCCAGTTGTTCCGAACGGCCCGGTTACTTCAGGTTGATGAATTACAGTCTAGGAAGTCCAGTTGGAATAACAGATTAATGTGTTTGGAAAAAAGGAACAGTATGAGACATGATTTAACAACCCTGGACATATATCAATGCATCAGGTGTTTTATCTTCTGTCGTAAAAATCCCAAGGTAAACAGAAGGGATGCTGCAAAGTAATCCACCAGGAATCTGTACTTGCATATATTGGATTAGCCAAGTGCCTTGCTGGATTATGCCACATTATATTTCAATGGATGACCCTGTATATATATTTTTTTTCTGGATTGCACTGACACCCTGATGCATCAGCGCAGTGGTCCCATTCAAATGAATGATGGGGCTTCTTTTCAGGCAGTGCTGTAGCCTCATGCCTTTCATTCCATGAAGGCCGCTGTACTAGAGCATTTTTACTACCCTGTTCCACAGACGCGTCTTGATCAATACCAAATCAGCAGTGCCATATTATTGTTTCTGAAGTACACGCTCAAAGAGTGCAGTCTGCATCACAGTTGTGACTCAAGTGACTGCAGTGTCACACAAAGTAGCTCAAAGGTCGAAGGGCCTCGTCCAGAAAACGCCAGAGTTGCATCATATCTGATTAGTCAGAAAGTTAACAAGAGGGAACGGCTGTGTTGCGCTTTATGTACCTTTGCTGTCAGAACTACACTTGGGCATTTTCTTGAGAGCAGATAAGAATTTGTTTGATTTAAAGATAACCTCAAATAATAACACAAATCTTGGCCTAATATAAAGCGAGCAGGTACATGAACATCAGATACTGTATTGTTTGGTATTCTTTTCACATGTATTGTTATTATACTAGTACAATTTTCTACGAGATGTTCTAATTTGTTCTCTGTTTTGCTTTTGAAATTCCTGGGTTTTATATGATCTTTTAGCCTGTTACTGTGGCTCTAACTTGGCTATACAGTACAAATAAACGTGTATATGACAGAGAGTTAGCCTGTAAACTCTTCTCGACTGAGCTAACTGCTGAATAACATTTAGGCTTGGGATACAGAGAGTTAGCCTGTAAACTCTTCTCGGCTGAGCTAACTGCCGAATAACATTTAGTCTTGGGATGTTTTGTCTCCCTGAATGTTGCAGACGTTTCCTTCTTGACACTCTCAGCATTGTCATACTGGGCTCTGAGGGAAACAGCAGCCTCCGGTCTCCTTAATCTGACATGGCATCAGTGGCAGCCTGGCACACAGCCTCACATGCCACATGTGCTTGGATTGGATCTGTCTCCAGCATTTTCCTGAACACTTACTACAGCTTTTTGCTTGCACTTGTACAGTTATACACAAACTGTACGTGCAGGAGTATGTAGAAGAGTTTACTTTCATTTCTTGTCTGCCTCTGAACATTCTGGTTTTACTTTCTCCCCGTTCAAGATGGTAGAATTAATAAACTAAATAGAACATATAAACACTGCTGACTCCTTGCTGATGAGCCTACATGAAAACTATTTTTGTCCTCCTGCTGACAGACAGCTGTTCTGATGAGAGATGCTGTGCAGAGGTGGGAGTCATCACCATCTGAGAGACTGTGAAATGTTAGTCTGGTGCCCTGTAGAGATTCTCAGGATACTGTTTTATTACATGACTACTTTGCCACACACATTTACCCTCCAGTGTGACAGGTGGTCTTCTGGGATTTACTTACCAAATAGAAAATCTACCTGCATTTGGTGCCTAGTGGGTGCTAATTTCAGACCCTGCTGGCTGATGTAGCTTGTTTATATTTTCTTTTGTGTGTGTGTGTGGTAATATAGATTTTACCACTGAGCTATATACAGTTTTAAATACAGTACATAAAGTATCTCAAACCATTTTACTAGCCTCAAAGTTCTTAGAGTTCTAGTTTAAACAATGTGATTTACAAAAGTGGTTTTGAGTGAGATCCTTGACCCACATATTTGTACGAGTTTGAGGAGATATTGTGTGTGTGTTCCCTTGGAGCCACCAAAAGATTGGCACATTTTGTACAGCTAATCTCATCATGTACTATATATAACAGCCTCATATAGGAAGCCACCTGAGAGAGAGACCACCGTAATTTACCTGCGATGTGACTGGTTATGAAGTCAACTTGAGTCGTCATTAGCTTTGTCAAATATGTCTCACACAAGGAAAACACTGGCTGATCCTTCTGTTGGCTGCAGATATTTTCAGACTAGGTCGGCTGAATAAATTTTATGGGAAGGTTTCATTCAGATATGCCATGTTAGGACAGTTAAGTCTCAATGAAATACTTACATACTAGGATTCACTGAAGTATCCCATTCTATAATTGCGTGTCCTTTATGCACTGGGAAGTGTTTGGAAAGCAGTTGTCTACAAAACAGCATATGATAGAATAATTTTAAGTAGTTTGCTACAGTGATAAAACTGTTCACTCCAGCTGTTCCTGTCTATAGAAGCATCTGGTTGTTTTAGATTGGATCACTTGGCTTGACTGATTGTTGGGCTTTTTGGCTCCACTGCCAGGGTAGTGTCTCTGTGCCCTTATTAGCATGTGTGCTGCTCAGTGTTAGCATGTGTATGGGATCGTATTGTTCAGGGTCTGTGGGGGAGCACTGCAAGGCGCTTTTTCTTTGTTCATGACAAAAGGTAGATGAGACCGAATGAAGTGGAAGCCAACAGATGTTCTCTGTGCTGCTAAATGGGGAGAGGTGAGGTTTCCTGTTCTCTGAGCACAGTTCTTCCTGGGTGGTTCAAAGCTGGGTGGTTGTATACATTTTGTTGCTGTTGTTGTTGTTTTTCTTCCAGAGACCACTTTCAAAAAAATGTAGCTAGATTCTGGAGTTTTGAAAAAGTTTAAAAAGATGACCAGCGGTAATTTGGTGAGACTGGGTCTAGACAGCAGCAGAATGTCAGTCCCAGTTCCTAAAAATATCATCATTTTAAGATAATAAAACTCTGGATTTCGCAGCAGACCATGTCTGGTATTTTGGGCCAAAGTAAATGGGATCCAAGGTGAAACCTGTGGGTGTTGAACCAGCTTGCCATGGCAGACCATTTGCCAGCCCTGTGGGCCCTCTCGGGCTTGTGATCTATTCACAGCTGTTTTCGGCACAGATCCTCAGGTTAGATAATGGTGCAAATAGGAAAAGTTGCCCATCATTATGGAAAGGGAGGTTTTAAAATGTTGACTGAACCACAGATCTAAGAACCTGCTGATAGAAGGAAAAGTCTTGAAGTTACTGGTTGAGATGAATCGAGTGTTTCGTTCAGTCAGCTCGTCATCACTCTCCACTTTTCTAGTTATTGATCATGATGGCTAGCCTTATGGTAAGAACATTACCCTCACTCAGATTGTTAGTCATCACAGCAGGATTAGCCCCAGCTTCAAGTATTTGCTACCAGGGCACCACAAAACATGTGAACTGCTGATACCCTCTTTAGGCTACGCTGACACTGTTACACCATGTTGTTGACCAGGTGAGCTGTTTTACGTTTTAGATAGCTTTAGGATCAGGCACAAGTGGTTTGAGCATTTGAAAACATGAAGCGATTGGCATGTGTGACAGGAAAAGGTCAGGGGTGGTGGCCATGTTTGGTTTCTGCTCTGGATGTCAGGGGCATTTATTAAGATGTTGGGAGGGGAAGAGGCTGTGGCAACAGGAGTTCAGGTTACTCAAGTAACTAAATTTAATTATCGATTAACCTGACAGTTAATTTCTCAATAAGCCACTGGGTCTGTTAAATGTGAACAATAGTGAGAAATGCCCTTTGTTGTCTTAATAAGCTAGTTTAGACACCAGCTTATAGTTAGCTAGTGAATTTAGTAGCTAATTTATGTGAGCTGACCCAAACTACAAAATGAAAGCTCTTGGTTGTTCCTTGGTTAATGTTGTTTGTATGTCGGTTCACTGTCAGTGTTACACTTGTCCGATAGATGATTCTCTTGTGTGAGAAACACCATTCTGTCATTTTGATGTCTGGAAAGATACAGCCCATATCAGCCGTCCTCTCCTGTGTTCTGCCTGCTTTTTGTCCTGTCCTGTCCTTCCATCTATGACAGACGGCAGTGCAAACCTTTGATACAAATACCAGTGTGTGACCTGTACATACACTACTCGACATACAGTGAGGAACAGAAGTATTTGAACACCCTGCGATTTTGCAAGTTCTCCCACTTAGAAATCATGGAGGGGTCTGAAATTCACATTGTAGGTGCATTCCCACTCTGAGAGACAGAATTAAAAACAAAATGTCAGGAAATCACATTGTATGATTTTTAAAGAATTTATTTGTCTTGCACTGCTGAACATAAGTATTTGAACACCTGAGAAAATCAGTGTT